GACGAACGAACGGACGGACGGAGGGTAGGGCGGATGGACGAACGGATGGACGGACGGATGAACGGAAAGATGGACGGAGGGAAGAAAGGACTGAAGGAAGGAATTGTGCCGGTCGAAGGGACGCATTGACGGACTTATGGTCGAACGGATGGACGAACGGATCAACGAACTGACGGACACATGGACGGACGCAAGGAAGGATGGGTGAACGGATGGACACGCGGATATATGGTCAGTCTCATGGATGCACGGACAGACGGATGGACATAAGGACGGATGGTTGGACGGAGGAATGGAGGCAGGGCGGGCAGATGGACGGACGGTGGGACGTAAGGACGGTCTGACGGATGGACGGTTGAATTGACGGACGGATGGACGGTCCGTTGTGCGGTCGAGTGGACGAAAGGATGGACGGACGGCTAGATGGACTGACAAACGGTTGGACGGATGGATGTGCGGACGGATTTATTGATGCAGGGACAGGACGGAAGAACGGAGGGACCTATGGACGGATGGACGGACGGATGGACGGACGGATGTACAGACGGATGTACAGTCTGTGGGACGAACAGACAGAACGACGGTTGGCCGGACGATTGGAATGACAGGCGGAAAATGGACGGACGGATGGATTATCGGATAGACGGACTGACGTACGGATGGTGTTTTGGGTGGACGAATGGATGGACGGACGGATGAATGGACTTTGGGCGGACAAATGGCCGGACGGTTGGACCATGGATGGCCGGACCTTCCGCCGAACGGAAGGTAGATGGAATGGAATGAGAATGGGGCGGAAGGGCAAACGGATGGATGCACGGACGGACAGGAGGACGGACGGATAGACGGATGGACGAGCGAATGGACAGATCTACGGACGGACAGACGGAAGGCGACTGCTTTGGGGGGACGGATGGACTGATGGACGGACGTATGGGCGGTCTGTCGGATGGACAGACGGAACGCGGACAGACGGATGGACGGAATGATGAATGGATGGCCGGATGAACGGACTTTTGGGAGACGAATGGACGGACGGTTGACGGACGAATTGATAGACAGTTGCACGATTGGACGCATGGATGGACGGACGGATGAACGGTTAGATGAACTGATGGACGGATGGATGGAGAGTGTGTGGGAGGGAGGACGGAAATATAGTATTTTTGCTCCTGAATTCAAATATCATATCGGTTTTTGCTCATAACCAAAATTTTTTTAAAAAAAAGGCATTTATAACATTAAATATTTTAATACTTTTTGCATGAGAGAGAGAGAAAGATAAAGTGGGAGGGGGAGGGAGGTAGTGAGGGAGGGAGGGGTTGAAGCATGGAGGGAAAGAGGGAGGGAGGGAAAGAGGTAGGAATGCAGAATGGGAAGGTTGGAGGTGGTTTGAGGGAGCCTGGGGAGAGAGGAAGAGAGTGAAAGGGGGAGAGAGGGAGGGATGAAGGGTGGAAGAGAAAGAGGGAGGGAGACGTACAGGGGTAGGGTTTGAGAAATGGAGAAATGGGGAGAGGGATGGAGGTTGAGAGGGATTGAGGGAGGAAGAGAGGAAAGGAAGGAGTGAGGAATGAGGAGAGAAGAAAGGAGTGAATCCGAAAGGTGGGGGAGAAAGAGAGAGGGATGGGAAATTAGTGATAGGTAAGGGGAGAGAGAGGGATAGGGGAGTGGGAGGGAGAGAGAGAAAAGGTGTCACTTCCCAATTTTCCTATTGCTTCTTTGTAGGTTTCATGTTGGTTGAAATCCTCAGTTTCCATAAAAAAATAAATCAAAATTTTTTTGGCGTTTTCTTACAACAATAACAACTACGAAGATACATTTTTTCTTGATGAAATGTGTTCAAAAACAGATTTTCATATAAGGTCGTGTAGAATTTTTCGAAGTAAATGGGCGTCAAAGTTAGTTGGCCGCTCAAAAAATACTGCGCTCCTTGATAAGGTGTTTAGAGGCAGTTGAATTGCTACGTAAGTTAAAATGTGTATAATATTTCATATTTCTTTGTTCGTTTCTTACATTGGAGCTTTTGTTATACGTTTACAAATTAATCTTTTA